TGTGTGTGTGTGTGTGTGTGTGTGGGCGTGTTGTTTTGCAGGAAACTGTGGGACCTGTGATTTCTCCTCTGAGATGCTCTTTGCTGATTAAAAATCAGTGTGTGTGCGTTGTTCATGAGTGAAATTTATATGTTACATACATTTTTATCCACTTTATCTTTACACCTTGTCCATAATAGTGTTTTAAACCTCAGGTGGCAAATAACAGCCCCTTTCCAGTCTTAACACATTGAATATTTTTGGTTCCGTTTTTTCAACTTTTGGGAAAAATAGGACTTCATAAATAAAAGTGATACGTAAACTACAACAGCACCCACCCCCACCGAAGCCAAACGATCCTACACATGATTGTTCAGTTCTTATAGTGGAAAACTAAAATGGTCTGATAAGCTTATTAATGCTTTAGTCATAAAACAAAGTAATGTAATAGTGTAAATATTTCTCTATCTGTATTTGTTTCTATATCTATAGGTTATGTTTTCATCCCTGTACATTTTGTTTGTTTGTCAAAAGGATTGTGCACAATCCACAGACTAGTCATCAACAAAACTTTGTAAAAGGATGGGACACTGACTGAGAAGAAACTGTTTGAAACTGAAACAAACTGATTGTGAGAAAGGACATTTTTGACATTTTTCATTTATTTACCAGAAAATAATAAATAAATTTCAATGAAAAAAAAAAAGAGCAGCCTGATCAGTGGCTTCAGAGGCAGAAACAACCAACAAGTGGTTCCATTTTACACTTTAAACTCAAACAGAGCTTAACTGAACAAAACTTTAAATTCAAATCACATGGCAACACCTTGAAGGCAACTGCTTATATAGCCTCTTCCATCAGGAGGAGCCAAACAGACCCAATCATTCTTGTTAGTCCCACCTCTTCGTAGCATGTTATGTAATTGAACTAACTTAAATGACTGATACTTGTCACCAAACACGTGACGACTTTAATGCAACACTCGAGACAAAATGCAGCAGATAATAATTACCAAAGCTACGAAACCTCCCCTCACACATGGTTTCTCCCAGTGACATCACTGCTGATGTCACCAAAGGTATAAATACAGGAAGTGTTGGGCCACTTCCTCCTTTAGTTTCCTGCAACACATGGTGGAAAAGGTGAGTTTTTATTTAACCTGTTCTAAACCTGCCGCTTGGTAAAGTTCTGTTCTCTTGTCCTGTGTTGATGCTCCAGAGCTTCTTCAGAATTAATCCTTATCATTAGTGAGTCCTCCTCAAACACTTCTACAAAATACGCAAACTTTTTATTTTTATGAACAGTCTACAGTTCAGGTGAAGTTGGAAAACTTTACGTTAATCCTGCCTGGTTTATCAGCACCAATGATTTTTATAAAATGAAATTTGTTTTATGACTGTTAACATGTGTTGGTTTATATATAAGTTTGAATGCTTTGTTAATGGTGTTATTTTTTTCATACGTTTGCATGTTGGCTATTTCAGAGGTCTGTTAAGCAACCGACGTTCAGAAGTTTTCAAAATAAAAGCTCTATAATGCAGTTCGATACAAAGCATTGCAGCAACCAAATGAACGTTGCACTTTTACTTTGAAGTCGAATTGCCAAACAGGAAGTGATTCAATGAATGTTCTAGTCATCAAATAGAGATCAGTCACACACTGTGTTGTTCCTAATAGTTTTTATTGAATCTATGAACAAAGCTTTTTAAAACACGTTTGAAAGATTTGGACAGAAATCAGTTTCATGCTGGTGTCGAGCTCCTTCAGTTGTCGTGAACATCAAAACCAGGCGGAGGTTCGACTCTGGTCTTTCCCCAGGCACCAACTCTTTTCCTCTGTCAAATTTCTTCTTTTTTTTCTTGACAGACTGAAGAGGAAACAGATCTTGAGAGCTGCATTTCTTCATCTGATCCACATCTGTACTTTTAGTAGCTTCACAGGATTATTTTAGACTGAAGCAGCTTTGTCTGTTCTTCAGCCTCTTTTGTGCTTTAAGTCAGTTCTGCACCGCTCATGGGAAATGACACCTAGAGACATGTAAGATAATATTCCACATGTAGAACAAGACAATGTTTCTCCAGTCACTGTTCTACACGATCAAAACCAATTTGACAATTACACTGAGAGAACAAGTGTACGCATGCTTTCATCTATTTTACCTTTGTATAGAAATATAGCTGCAGACAACACAATCTAGTTCAGACTATTGTAGAAGAACAATTCTCACTTTCATTTATTAATACAAGAATAGGTCTGTAAAAAGAACAAGTGATACTTGTTCTTTTCAGTGTTCACACATAATCAGCTTCCAAACTCCACTTTTTAGTCCTGTGACGACAAAAGGACTTTTTCCGAACAATATGCCAACTTACTGAAGCCATATTTTTCTCCAATGTACGCAGGCTGTTTATTTCTTTGATTTTTAATTTCCTGAAGCTATCACCTTAATTATTGTTGGAAGAACGTGTTGTCGTCCTCTTTACTTCACAGAAGCTTTGATTTGATCATTTTCTCTCTGTCCTTCTTTACCCTCCAAAAATGATGAACTTCGGTGATTTCACTTCCTAAATGTCACGGCAGCACTGCGCAGCCTCAGAGTCTGAGGCTAGAGAGCATCATGGGCCAGGGGGCAGGCAGGCAGACAGACAGACAGGCAGGCAGGCAGGCAGGCAGGCAGTCAGACAGACAAGCAGACAGACAAGCAGACAAGCGTGGGAGTTCAACAGACAGTTAAATGAGCATGAGAGATAGACAGGTAATTAGGCTGGCAGGTGGACAGACAGGCAGTTTGGGGAATGGAGACAGGCCAGAGGCAATGAATAGGACATCCATGGTCGCTTTAATCTTTGCTGAGCAAAAACCAACACACAAACTCACTCACACTCGTACACACACACAGACAATGTAGGTGTGGTGGGGGCAGCTTGCTCCTGTCTGTCAGTCCGGTCAAACTGCAGTCAGGCCAGTGTCACCCTGACAAACAATGAGCTCTGTTCCTCCTGCCTGACTGACGACCTTAGATAAACTAACACCAGTGTGTTTAAGAGCAAAGTGATTGTGAAGAAGGGAAGAAAAAGAAGGTTTGAGTCTGTGATGGGGGGGGGGGGGCAGACAGAGAGTAGATGGAGCTTGTCCCCTGCGTCCTGCATCTCGGATAAGTCCTTTTGGCCTGTCATTCACTATCAGCTGGTATTAGAAGCTGAAGAAAACCCCCAGGAGAGAGAAACAGCAGCAGAGAGAGACAGGGAGGAAAAACTGCAGGGATGACAAAGGGGAGGGAGGGAGGGAGGAGAAGAGAAAGGAAGACAAGAAGACAGTGAGAGAAGAGATGGTGGATCTTAAAACATTAACACCACAGAGAGCAATTAAATAGTAAGTACCGAAGCAGCTTGTTATCATTTTCATGTTTGTGTATGTACAAAATAATTCAACAACACATGGAGGAATCTTCAACAGACTTTATCAGAATATTACTTCAGAGTTTTTCTCCAGATGATTCACTTTAGGAGGAGTATGGTCCAACATGTCTCTACAAATTGATCACGAGATACATTGATTCCAATGATTATGCAGGTCAGACAATTATTACTTACTTATGTACATTTTTGGAAAAAACGATCAAGTAGAACTTTGAGAGCTGAACAACATTTGAAGGAGCACTGCACAGATTTATCAGACTAATATTATTTAAGATCTTGATGTTGTCCCCTGTGGCTCTGAAGGTAACTTAACTGACATCACATTTTATTTGAAAACCTTTTAAAACCTGTATATGGGGAGTTTGAAAACGGAGCATTCACCAGGCAGCAAGTCTCCTCCTTAAAAAATACATGT